GCCAGTCCAAAAACTTTGCCTCAGTCTCATTAGTCGGCCTCGGGTCCGCGGAGTTCCAATTGATGTGAAGGTTGAAGTCGCCCGTCAGGATAATATTCATGAAACGGTCCCCTTGAGTGCTGATTCGGTCGAAAACTGCATAGAGCTCCGAGAAGACACCGCTCCCAGCGGATGGAGGCCTGTACAGCGAGCCAAGAAGCAGTTTCCCATTCGGCATTTGAGTTGTGTCCATACCAACTCAGAGTTGGGGATTTCGAAGTCCTCGCGGCGCGTTGGAGAAAATTCGTGCTTCACGGCGATCAGGACAAAGCCTCCGCGCCCTCTTCGGTCTTTCCTAAACACAGCATACTCGGAACCGAATATCTCGTGATCCGTAACGGAGTCACCGAGCCACGTTTCACACACACACACTGCGTCCGCTGGGTTGCAGGGCAGGTCAGATTGCAGTTCGGGTGCCTTGTTTAAAAAGCTTCTCGCGTTGTAGTACTGAACACAGAAGGGACCGGGGTTGCGATGGACGTCACCGGAGAGCAGAAGAAGATCGAGCAGCAGAACATTCAAGGCTTGGTATGGTTGGTCGGATGTAGGCTTAACGATTCGGGGAGGACCTTTGCCACACCAGTCATGGGCAACTGGTCGGGGCTCACCTCTCAACTCCTCAGCGTTCGTCTTGGATATAGCCATTCTCCGGAAATTAGAAAGCAGAAAAAGGACAAACAACATGACAGTAATCGTGGTGGCACATCGCAGCCGTCTCCGGCAGCGACCAAATGCGTTTTAGCACCGTTTTTAATGCAATTATTTCGAAAGAAAAACGCCGTAACTGACCAATTATTTCGTCTGCCTGACTGAGAAATGTTCCCAGTTACTAGTGTGACCTAGGGATTCGCACACCGTGAAGTTACGTGGCAGGTTTTTACCGCTGGATTGACTGCATAGGTCGTGACACAGCAAGTTGCCATGGCATCACAACGCATTACATACGTTGCCTCTCATTGGTCTTATTTTTTGTGTGGTGTAGCAGACAGAAACCTAACAGTGACACAGAACATTCTTCGACAAAATTTATCTCAGCGGTGTCAAGCAAAGGACTCATGCCACGAGTCGCCGTACGTGCAAGCTCGTGAAAACAGCAGCAACAACAAATGCTCTGGCTTGGGGCATCTGGTACTGGCGTCGCCTTCTCGTTGAACCCACTGAGAATAAATCTAGCGAAAACGGTTCCTGTCAAATTATTTACACAAATACGCACATACTAAGACATCTGGGCTTCCCGCAAGGGCCTAAAAATTAAGATAGGAGGAACATCTAGTATGTACTCTAGCATTCGTTCTATCACCTGTCATCTGACTTTAATTGCCTCAAAATGCGCTGAAAACAGTCAAAATGGTCTTATCTCTGGATTTTATTAAAACTTTCCAACGCTCCAGGGTCGGATGACATTCATTACATCTTCATAATGAACCTAGAAAATAATCAATACTCAGGAGCATTCCTAAAACGCAGGTTTCTGTAGCGAGATTCGCCCACTGAGTGACGAGCGGGAACAAATGTAACCAGATCCCCAAGCGTGCAGCAGACTATCGCAATTCAAGCGACATATCGCAGATGTAATTCACTACTGAAGTACAAATACCTTTTTCAAAAGTATCTCGATACAGAGATACGGATATTCTAAAGTATATTTAAAACACTATCGCGATATTTCCTAGCCGTGTCAGAGAAAAGGGAGAGAAAACATCCTATGGTAAGGTGTGTCCTCTCCTCGGGGGATCGGTGGCCGAGTGGGCTAGCGCACGCCAGCTCGGAGCACGTGGAGCGAAAGCTCGTGCTGCAGAACCCAGGGATCTTGGACTCAATCCCCACCCCCGCCCCTTTCGATCTGGATGAGCATCGTACCGGCGTGCGGTCGTGTATCACTACTGCGTGATGCACGTTATATACCCCAGGCTAGCGGTTGTGCAGCACTGGCTAAAGTTCTCATCTACAGCTGGGAGACAAGTCTCCCGTTTAGGCAGACTGAAAAAGCTGTAAAAACATACACACACTTTTATTTCCTTTTCTTATTTCATTATTTACCGAACATTACCGCTCTTAGACCTGTTCTATATCTGTGTAACTAAGTTGAATTTCCTGTGCATTCCCATGTGTATTGTGCTTATGTCCTGTTGATAATGCATTTAATGCAAAGGTGCCAGCTAGATGGACAAGACTGGCGAAAATATTCCCTGGAGAGGAAAAACAAGGGGCACAAAGGACAAACACAAATCTCCAAACTCAGCTAGGTGACTGGTGCGCGACCGAAAAAATCCTGTGTCGTTTCAGTTGCATATTGTGAGCACCAGTTCTATTATTCTCACTAGTGGTCCGTTCGAACATGCCAAAGTTCCGATGCACTTTGATTTATGCCTGGTGAGTTTCTGGGTCCCGATTATTGTGTAATCAAAGTTTTTAGCTTATATGTGCAAGTGTAAAAGTTGAAACACATTAGATTCCTGCTAAAAGAAAAAGCGGATACATGAATTGTCAGTAAGTGTAAACATCGAAGTGCAGAATATCTTGCGATTTCCTTTTCCGCAACATGGAACAATGAAAGATGACGCTCTGAATGATGTATATCTCGGTTTATGGTTTCAGATCGCCTTTTATACTAGTGTGCTGTGTAAGTGCCATTTTATACTGTGGCTTCATAGCGTGTTTTTCATGAAAGTGGACACATTATTTAGGCACAGCTATGATTGTATCTGGTTGCCTGCCCCTTTACCCTCACCCTCTTTACAAAAAACATCTTGTGGACAAATTTCCGCATAGATTACGCACTATTAGTATACCTTCAAATGGGAGAGCTTCTAGAATAGAAAGTGCCTTTGCGGACACCTTGGTATCTGTGACAGCGTTTTTGGGTGTGTGCAAAGCCCCGCGTGAAACCCCTTACTGCTTTCCTTCCTGACAAACTTGGGTGGCAATGCAACAAATTGGCATTGTCACAATTAAGACATGTTCATTCCTTTCTTGTTCTCTGCATAAAATGAGCTGTTGACTCTGTTGCACAACAACAAAACTATGCGAGAAAGCAGGGGACACAAAAGGTTTGCATAAAACGGGCAAAGCGGCCGAATTTAGGCGCAAAAGCAAATTATTATGACAATGTCATGGGAAAACACCCTCCCCCTCCTTTACTGTGGGGTTCCTCAGAAGCCCAGAAGGAGTGCGCAATATATTTATGGTTGAGAACCACTGCCCTTTAATTACATGCGCAAAAGGAGTATACTTTATGCGTGTTTTTTTACTCCCAAACCATTCTTTGGTGCACCAATTTGCTATTATGGGTAAATGTTAGTGTTGCAATGTTTTCCACATAACAGGAACAGACAACCTATTTTATTCATAAACAAATGTAATATCAAGCATACTTGTAACATATTTACTCACATTAAAAGATCTTATTATCAGGGTTTTGATTTTAGCGAATTTTTTTTTTTTTTATTTTTGACTTTTTTTCCTCATTTGTATAGTATTCATACTATACAAATGCTATAATATTCACTAGTCTTTTCATGCTTTAGTCTTAGCATTGCTATTTGCCCACTATTCGCTGATTGTGACTGACAATTTTACAAATAAAATTTTTTGGGGGTAGCATTAGTCGGGTATGTACGAGCTGATGGCACTTTGTGAAACGACATATTTACGAAATTTATTAGCCATTGAGTACATAAAAAAATAAATGAGAAAACAAATGTGACAAATGCTGCTGACCTGTGACTCCCGTTGAGAAGTGGAAGAGTCAAAGCAGAATCACACAAATCATTGACTTTCTAAGAAAGTCGTGAAGTTTCAAAGAGAGTCATGGAAACAGCGACCCCCAATGGACTTTTTTTTTTTTTTTTAATGTTGGGCTAGATGTGAAACAAGTTAATAATCAACGTTATTGATATCGGTGGTGGACAGGCAACGATTACAATAAGCCACTCTAACAGAGCTCAAGTAGCATGCGATTCTCGGAGATTTAAAACCAATGCAAACGTTTGTTGTAATTCATATATTCCATCATTTTATTCACAACATACCAATCCATCAAAGCACGCAATGTGTACAATATATGTATATTCTCAACGTCAACAATCTACAGGCTTCCGGAAGAAATATAGAGCATATATATTATAATATGACCAATTCAGCTCGCATATATACATGAGACGATAAATAATAAATAGCTATAGGCACGTGCAGTCGCCGTCTACGTATGAAGCCCGCGAATAGGTAATATTAGTTAGGAGCCACGTAAATTTTGCCTGCGCATGAGCGACCCCTCCATCTGCGCCGCATCACTCGAAACCCTCAGAATTCTGCAGAAAAAGAAAACGGGGGGAAATGTCATTAGGCATGTACATGCGCGTAGAATGTTAATATATTAATTGATAGCGTTTTGCATGGCACAGTAGCGGCTAAGACCATTCTGCGCCAAAAGCAGATATTCCATTCACCGAGTATCAAGACAAACAAAAATAGCATACTGTAAGCAGGGATGAGCAGTATTTCAAATACAATTACCGTATTTTCCGGACTATGTACCCAATGTATAGTCTGCAGGGGCAAACTTGAGGACAAAAATATAAGTTTTTGCTTAGTCCGCACCCGGTGCATGGTCCGCACATAATGCTAGTCTGAACGTAAAACTTATCATGCACAGTACACCTTGGCAAATGCCTGCTGTATTAACTCGCAAAGAAGCTCGTATCATACATAAATCATGCATTATTATACTCCGTAATTTATAAAATATTTCACGTTTATCACAGTTAATGTAGATAGTCTGCTTCGTGTAAAATTTTAACTTTTAAACATCTATATTCCACGGACTATAGTCTAGAAAATACGGCATTTGAAATACGTAATTAAAATACTATTTACTCACATACTGGGAAATGCATTTGCCAACTGTATTTATATATGCTAAAAAAATTAGTATTTCAAATACTTTCCAAATACAATTTTGGGCACTCTTTGCAATCAAATGCAATATTACATGCACCCTTCGCGATGGGAGTCATATGCAAAGAGCATGAAACGTGATGCGCTTTACTTATAATAGACACGGGGAAAAAAAGGAAAAAGAACAAGGGGTGAACAGGGTGGGCACAATTGTTAACTTTTTGGTCGACTCATTTAATTTTTTAGACGTCGCATTAATTCCACGTTGTTTGAAAAGGCTTTATTGCTTCAAGTGAGCCTTTCAGACTAATCTCGTTTGAATACACTGTTTCCACGAGCTGTAACTTTCTTTTAAGCGTTGTATTTTCGCACAGTCCCTTTTATTTCTTAACCCACGGTTAAATTTAAGTCGACGTCGGACTATGGGGGGAAAATGTATTTGTAAAAATATTTGAAGATAATAAAATATTCTCATATTTTTAACTTGTATTTAAATACGTTTCTAAAAAAAGTGTACTAATTAGATCTCTAATGAAATATATTTTTTCGAAGTATTCTGTATTTGTATTTCATACATCTTGGAAAGCATTTGCCTATCCGTGACTGTGAGCACGTACACCTATGTTAAAACCGATTACACGGGTCCGTTTTCAGGGTGTTTCAGGGTGCATTTAGGACCCTGAAAACGAATTCAGGGTCCGTTGAGGACCCTAAATTCGTGAACAACAACGGTATAGCCAAAACAGTCTTTTTTTTTTTTTTTTGAAAATGGTAGGGGGGGAGGTTCGATGATGCTTCCCCCCGGCCTCCCCCACTGCTGTTTGCAAGTCGCAACCCAGCCTCAAACTTTTATGGCAGACGGAATAAGCAGACAACCGGTCATCCCGTGCGAATGAATAAATGCGTTATCGGTCCAACCCATGCGGACGGGTGTCGACCGCATCGCTACTGGTGGGCCACCTCGGAGGCCGACGCGCGGGAGTGCGGTTCCTCGAGGTACAGGAGCCTCTTCTTGCACAGGTGGAGGATGGACTCGGCGATGACCCTGGCCGACCGGCGCTGGTAGCCGCCGCTCGTCACCATCACCAGGGGAATGTCGCGGGTGCGCACCTGCCGGAACACCAGGGCGTCCCGCCGCACCACGCCCTGCGAGAGACAACGACGCTTCACCACCCCTCGTGATCACACTGCACGCACCGTGAAATATAGTCTGAGTGGAGGTGAGCTGCTATAAGTCGAACATGATGGTGAACCTGAGACTGGGGTAGGAAAAGGAAAACGCAAAGGAAGACAGAAAAAGAACAGGCGCCTGTTCTTTTTGTCTTCCTTCGCGTTTTTTTTTTCTACCCCCGTCTCAGGTTCACCATTATGTTCAACCAAAAATATGTTTTATTTTATTAGTTTACTAATCGTTACTAAACTCACTGGATCCTGGGAAAGTAGCACCATTGCCTACCCTGGTTGCTAGCCGGACACAAATAGATAATAACATGCAGACGGCCAAACCTCGCAAGGTGAGTGGCTGATCGGTCTCAGATGCCATGCATGGCGATCGCCATTTCGGTCCATTCGAATCTTCGAAAGAGTTGTTTTGAACCAGTCGTGCCAAGATGGAGCATCCTCGTAATACTGAAAGCGTTCCTCGTCAATATAAGCGGCGTCTTCGGCACTGTGTATGCAACTCATCAATCATGCTGATCTCCACAATCTCTCACAATGGTGATGTTATCGCGAATTTCAGGATAATAAAATTGTTTTTCAATGCCACCAAGCACCGAATCCGGTGCAGAGGTGTGCGCTATTTTCGCCGGTGTGTGGATAACGAAAGCTCGGTATTCAAGAGAGGTCTTTACAAAGCAACCTGTTCCCGGGAATTTGGATCGGCTTTCGGTTAAGCTACGTTCAGCTTAACCAAAAGTTTCGGTTAAGCTACTTTGTTTTCGGTTAAGCTACGTTCAGCAGCGTCCACAGTAGTGACTGCTGACTGATAAAGCGGACAACCGAACAGCCCCTGTACGGCGGGAGTCAAGAACCGTAAGTAACCACCTTTTTGATAACCACTTTGTACAAGCGCCTATTTTCTTGAAAACTATCTGACGTAAGCTGGTATCCTGTCGTTCTCTTTGTTTCAAAAGTAACAAGAGGGAGAAAATGAAGCGACATAGAAAACCATTACATCGTCTGTGCAACCGGCAGAAAAGAATGAGAATTGCCGAGAGCGTGCGCGATTATCTTGCGGACATTTTTCCGAACTCGGCTTGTGTGGCGGCGGATAGGGATTTGATGGTCAACAGAGCAGACGACAGCGACAGCGGAGTGAGAGAGGTTTGAGACACAGTGCTACCCGACGGATTCAGTGAATTTTGCGTGGACACAGATTGAGAGTCGGGTCGTACTGAAACCCGGTCGTCTAGCTCAAGTGAAGGTCCTCTCAGCTTGGCAAGCGAGCTGTCAACATAAGCGCTAGGTCATCAGTGAGACGGAGTGCCCAGCACTTTCTTTGCGATTTTGGAAATTCTTCGTGAAATTTCGGCAAATGCTAGTGAGAGGTCTGGAAACGGCGTCCGGACATCGAACGCCGTTTCATCGAACACCGTTTCACCGAAGCCGTTTCATCGAACGCAGTTTTAGCGAACGCCGTTTCATCGAACGCTATTTCAAAGAAGTCGTTTTATCGAACGCCGCCTACTTGAGCAGTAGAAATTCTACATCTAGGAAATATTGTTCTTTCTAGCGCCGGGAGGATAGCAGTGTTTTAATATTTATTATAACTTATAAAGTTATACATATATAAAAGGAAGAAACCTTTTTTTGTCACCTTCTATTCTTTTCTTTTTTTTAGTAAATGATGACCTCAGTTGATGTGGCCAATAAGAAACGGGAACACTGACGACACTTTTTAAAGCTGTGATCATCAGGTGTAGTGATGAACGCACATCTGTTCAAGGGCGTATATATCTACGTCTTTGAAGAGACCTCTTCTGCTTCAAGACGAAGCCGTCCTTGAAGCAATAATCTGTCTCCGTGTCCCATTTTACGGGGGAAAAAATAAAAAAAGACGTGTCTCCCCTTTTTGTTGATTTATTGTAACCGACAGAACATGGACCTGCCGGATATTCAACATACAATAATATACTGCATGTCGAAGATCCGACAGGTCCACGGTTCTGTCGGTTACAATAAATTAACGAAGACGGGAGACGAGTCTTTTTGAAGAAGATATATGTTGAATTCCTTCAAGCTGCAATTTTCCTTTCCAAGATGTCTATGCTGCGCTTACGTCTACGGGTTCTCGGATACTTCGTCCGCAAGAAAGTTCCACACGGAGCCATCGAGCAAGTCACGGGGTTCCAGTCTAACAACTGGCAAGCCAATCACAGAATCATGAAGATCGCCAGGGATGAAATCTCCAGCGAGATCCGCGTTATGCAAGAGCTCCTGCCCGCCGTGATGTCCAAACATCTGGGACTAAACTATAATCGTCAGCCGTCCTTCAAGTTTCCACATGAGTCAGCCCGCACCCTACTGTCAAACTCATGGGATCATTTTCTTCGTCATCAGAAAAAATCCATCGAGGTGACACCAAGAGTCAAACCAGAACCCCCCCTCAACTTGTCCGGAGTGCAGTTATCCCCGTCTACAGAAAGCCTTCTGGCCCACGGGCCGAAGTATGCTCCTGCGGTCGCCAACACCAGAGTCGACCAGCTGGCCGCGGTGTACGAGATCGCCGCCAAGATACCGGAGGACAGCCGTCAGGACTTCGTAGCGGCAGGGTCAAGAGCTGTGTGCTTCCATGGTGAGACAAGGAAAACCAAGAATGCTGCGACCCCAGCTATCAAGGAACTTCAGTCCGCTGAGCTGAGAGTTCTCCAAGCGGACAAGACGGGCGGGTTCGTCATCCTCAACAAAGAACAAATGCAGGAGAAGACCGACGAAGCGCTGAAAAAGAACTTTCTTCCTCTCAAGTCGAGGCCGTCCGGTTCCCTCAGGTCTCAGGTGAAGGCGCTCTGCGACTCTTCCAACCTCCCTTCTCTAAAAAGTGCTATTCTTGCTCCTGCTAAGCAGTACCTATCCATTTTCTTTTCTGCCACGACACATAAGCCTGGAGTGCCATTCCGTAGCATTATTTCAGAAACAGGGTGCTGGCAGAAGCCCTTGCCGATGTCCTTACAAAAACATCTCGTAACCTTGGACCTTCGTCAACCTTTCCGACTAAAGAATTCCGAGGACCTTATCCCAGCGTTAGATAACTTGCATATCGGTACGGAAACTGTTAGAGTGTTCTCTCTTGATGTAGTAGATTTGTATTATAGTCTCAATGTGAAAACCCTTCCGGGGTTCGTGTCCGAAGCTGTGCACTTAAGAGGCGTTATAGATTTTCAAAATTCCTGAGGCATCTCACTCTCAGCATTTCTAGAGTTGATTCGCCTGTATCTTGAGTCCACCCTAGTCGAACACGAGGGCAAAGTATTCCTTCAAAAATCCGGTGTGTGCATAGGGTCGTGCCTAGCACCCATCCTAAGCGAAATCTTTATGTTTCACGTTGACACAAAGGTTCAATCAATCCTTGAGCAGGAATTTCCCGAAGCCTTGGTTTATCGCTACGTAGATGATTATCTTATCATTCATTCCACTAATTCAGATACCGCAGCGATTGAAAGCGTTTTCCAGAAGAACTCCTTCGGGCTCACGTTCACAAAAGAGACCCCTTCATCTGAGGGATTACAGTTCCTTGATCTGAGATTGGTCCCCACCAGTGTCGGGATCTGCTGGTCCAATCAGCAGAGGTCTGCGAAGCCTGTCCTGCCGTTCAGCAGCTCGCACTCAAAAAAACGTAAAAACTGGTATTGTCCGAAACCTTATTGCTGCTGCCAAATCCAAGTCGTGTCACCACCTTTCCGCAACTAGTCTGTCCAATCAGATAGGCCGCCTTCTCAAGGCAGGTTACCCAAACGACTTGATCGAGCTTACCATCAAAAGACTTGTCACAGGGCCTCAATCCAAAAAGCCGCCTCCAAAGTCCCGCTTCGCGTGCATCCCCTACATTCATATCATTTCGCATCGACTGAAATCAATAGCTCAGGGCTTCAACACCAACGTGGTTTTCTCGTGTAAGTTTAAATTGGCATCTATTTGCAAAAAAGTCAACAGCCCCGGACCGGCGCCCCCTTGCCAAAAGAACCACAAAACCCGTTACGTTCCTTGCCGCAAAGAGTGTGTTTACTCTATTCCTAAATCCTGCGGTGCCCGATACATCGGCCAAACGGGGCACTGCTTAAACGACCGCCTGAGAGCACGCGAACGAGGTTAAAAAAACGGCCTCCAACGGTTCAGAGGTCATTCACCACCCGATCGCCAAACACGCATCGGAATGTACTTCCTGCTCGGCCGTCCTTCCCTCTACTACAAGAATCGGGGGTCACCCCTCGAGGTATGGTCGAGAGATTCTGGAAGCCTTCGCCATGTGTCGATCCAAGGACAACATCGGCTCCCCTTCCGTTGCCCTTTCGGGGAAAGCGATAAGATTTCGGAGCTATCTCCCCCGACGTTCCCGACAGCGACGACGCACCCTTGACGGCATAGTGCTCCTCCTTTCCACTCCTTTTTTTCACCCCCCCCCCCCTTTTTTCCTCTATATAAGCAAACTCTTGGTGTTATTAAATGTTGTTGCCAGTTGGAAGTTTGTTTTGTCCGTCCTTTCTCGTTTTCTTCCTCAAGTTTACTAAAGCTATTCTCCCAGGATAAATTGACAAATACAAAATAAATAAGGCGTTGCAGAGAATAGCTGATTCCTTCACGCGTCAATAAATAGAGGGATGAAGTGGGAAAAAGAGTGTGGCCGAGAACAGCCGCCTACCTTGCCAGAAAAGAATACTAAGTCGCATATCCACTCAAGTTTTGATATGATAGCAACCTTCTATGATTCAGTAGCCAACGTTTAGGTGGACACAAATTTACCGAGTAGTAATTCTATATATGGTGAATTTAGAGCGGCGTCAAAACTATTTCAAAAGCGATAGTAAATTATGTAAAAGGTATTGTATTACTCCAAAATTAAGGGAGATTCGATGAAACGGCGTTCAATGAAACGGCGTTCGATGAAATGTCCACTTATTCGATGACAGGGCGTTTTATGAAATGTCCCG